AGACATTTGAGTGAGTCATTTTGAGATGTACTGCTGCTTGTATCCTCAGCATCTTGCCAGACTCCTAGACAGAGTAGTGCTTCTTCAGAGTCTTCTGATGAAGAGCTTTCATTACTTGAGCTGCTTTCATCATTTTGGGATTCTTCATTCTTTTTCTCACTTACAAAGGCTTGATGTTTGCCTTTGAAGTTTTTGAATCCTGCCTTGTGTGAAGCATCCTGCTGTCCTTGATATTTGTGTGCCAATGGGAGAGGGCACTCATTTTTGTAGTGTCCTGGCTGTCTACAGTTGTAGCAAAGAATAGTATTCTCACTTGATTTGTATCTTCTGGATTGCTGAGGAAATGGCTTCTTTGGGGATGAACCTTCTTTCTTTATGAACCTTTTGAATTTTCTTACAAACATTGCAAATTGTTCATCAGTGAAGAGATTGTTGAGTGATTTTTCTGTTGATCTTGATGTGCCAGGTTCAGACACTAAGGCCAGTGTCTTGATCTCTTCTTCCTTGTCATCCTTTATCTCTTTCATTTCAAACTCATAAGCTTTTAAATCACTAAAGAGCTTATCCGTTGAAAGACTTCTGAGATCTCTGCTATCTCTCATGGCAGTTACCTTCATATCCCATCTTGATGGTAGTCCTCTTAAAATTTTAAGAGAGATCTCTTTTTGAGAGAGAGTTTTCCCAAGATCAGAGACCTCTGCAATAATTTTAAGAAATCTAGATTCCATATCATGAATGGATTCACTTGACAACATTCTGAAATCTTCAAACTTCTTGAGAGCAATAGTTAGTTTGTTGTCTTTTTCTTGTTCATCGCCAGTTCCAATCTTTGTTAATTCATCCCATACGTCTTTGGCAGTTTCACATTTCCTTATCCTTGGAAATATGGATTCATCAACAGCTTTGAAGAGGATGTCTTTGGCAACATTGTCTAGGTTGTTTCTCTTCCTATCTTCAGTTGTCCATTCCATTTTTGGTTTTGGAATGTACATATCATCTGTTCCTTCAGTAGTTCTGGATGTGATGACCTTCATGATTTTGATGGGTCCATCAGTAATGACTTCTAGCATTTCATCATGTAGGGCACTCAGATGAGCTTTCATTCTGATTTTCCAGTCATCAAATTTGTTGAAGTTGAACAGGAGATTTTTGGAAAGTTGGTTGTCCATTTTTGAAAGTTCTTGGAGAAGAGTGAGTTTTGGATTTTTAGTTCAAACTTAGTCAGAAACTGACTCTAGGAACACCCGCTCTGATACCACTTGATGGTCCCTGATAGAGGTAAAAGTCTAGAGGGGGGGGTGAATAGACTTTTAAAGTTCTTTCCTATTTTTAAAGAGTTTCCCTCATAGGTATGATGATCTATAATCTTTTTGAGAGATTTAGGATCGCAGCGGAAGTTATGACCTCTTTTTGACTGTGAATGGTAACTGGATGAGAATGGAGACTCTTATGAGAGGATAAGAGGGAAGGGGTATTTGTATTTAGGACAACTTATCTTTAGTGACTGAAGTGAATAGGAGAATGGAGACTCTGCTTTGAAGATCTTTCAGTGAGATCCTCTGATGGCCTTGAATCAGAGATCCTTGAGTGAGGTCCTCTGGTAACCTTGAGTCAGAGACCCTTGAGTGAGGTCCTCTGATGATTTAGAGTCAGAGACCCTTGAGTGAGGTCCTCTGATGATTTAGAGTCAGAGACCCTTGTATGAGGTCCTCTGATGAACTTGAATCAGAGACCCTTGTGTGAGGTCCTCTGATGATCTTGAATCAGAGACTCTTGTGTGAGGTCCTCTGATGATCTTGAATCAGAGACTCTTGTGTGAGGTCCTCTGATGATCTTGAATCAGAGACTCTTGTGTGAGGTCCTCTGATGATCTTGAATCAGAGTAAATAAGATTGACACGAGATGTATCCTGGTTCAGAGGTGGTGTAATCCTCCTACATCCAGTCCCATCCTCTTTCAGATGGATTTCCACTAAAGTATTCAGCCCAATACAATTAGTGACCGTCTGGCTGTTATCACCAACTTGCTCAGACTTCAAGATGTTTCACTGAGAGTACACACCACTCCTAGTTACTCAATCCTTTAGGTTTTTCTCGATTGATCCAGTGGGGATCAAAAGGTACTCTATCCTATTCTACCACACTTAAGGACTTAGATGACGCTATCCTTATAAGTGTTTACAACAGTTTCAATATGAAACAAATTTCTAGCCTCCAACTAGAAACTAAACTTTCTGAGTGTATCAATGAGGATTTCTTTTCTAGAAGGTTTAGTGAAGCATGAGTCTAAGCAGAGAGCAGAATGTAATGAGCCCTTTCTCTTTTTGCTAGATATCTTCTTTGTGTAGTATGATTTCTCTGCTTAGTGAACTCAGGAGCTTGTTTTTCTTCTCATGCTTATGCCCGAATTTATAGGCATCTCTGGTTGATTAATCTCCTCCGTTGGTTGAGAGGATTTAATCTATTTCGTTGAGGCTTCTTGTACTTTCGTCTTCTTGTGTTGGAGCAGCTTATCTTCAGACGCAATTGGAGCAACTTGCTTTGCAGGAAATGTAAACCCATTCCTTAGACCATTTGCGCACTATTCACCATCTAGTGGGATTTTGTCTTCACAGGCAACTCTGGAGTGTCTCGTGATTATACAGCTCTTTAAGTAAAATTTGTGACTCTGGTTCTTGTGTACAAAATTAATTTTTACTGGTAGGATTAAAATATCCTTTTTAAGGTAAAGAAGAATTTACCTTATTGCATTTTATATTTCCAGTAAAATTAATTTTGTACATAAGATGTACATGTAAGATTAGTCACAATTTTACTAGTGACAATAATAAAATTGTAACCCAAAAATAAATATACTGATTGGATTTGAATATCCTGGAAAGGTAGGAATTTACCTTATTGCATTTTATATTTCCAGTATATTTATTTTGTGACACAATTTATATATTCCTAATTTTGTCACCTTCCTTCCTTTTTGGACCATTCTTCAGTTCACACAATGATCATTCAATATTGAATAGAGAATTTAAACATCAAGGGAGGATGGCATCATCAAAACTATATTTTATCAAAGTCTGAGGGGCCTAACACATATTCTTGATTAATTTAGGTAATCTCATGCCTCACGCAAAAGTTATAAAGCATATAGCCGTCTTCTCACCTTATTGAAGCTTATGAAGTTCTAGCCTTTCCGATTTAGCCCCGGTGAAACTCCGGTGAACTTCAACGAACTCCGGCGACAACTCCGGCGACCCTTTCAACTCCGTGAAAGTTCTCGAAATACCTTATACAAGTTAATAACAAGGTTTTATCATCATAAAACCCATATCAACACAAATAACCTTCAAGAGGTTATTTTCCGACGAACCCGTCAACTTTGTCCTCCAAGTTCATTTTGGATATGAACCAACCTTCCAGCCCCTCATTCTTCACATATAACATGTATAGTGACCCTAGGGGTCTGGAACATGATTATATAATCATATGGGAGGATTAAGGAAAAAGGAATGGGATAAATGAAGTCATTACCTTGTTAATCCTCAAGTTTTCCTCCTCTTTCCTCTTCTCCTTCTCCTTCTTCTTCTTCCTTAAGCTTGGTTCGAATGGAAATGGAGGAAATGAAGATTTGAAGAGCTTCTCTCTCAAAATTGATTGGGTTGGTCGAGCATGTGAACTAAGGGGGAGAAGACATGGCTCTATTTTGGCTTGTACCCCAATGATAGCAAAAATAGGGCCCTACCTTGCCCATTTGATGCTAAAACACTCAAGTCAACATTTCTCACCCCCTTCCATCTCATCCAGCCGACCTAACCTGCCTCTCAGCCCATAAAATCGTGGGGTGGCCCCCACCCATGTGGGAGGTCGCCCCTTTAAGCCCCGAAGTGTACACTCGGTCCCGAAAGTTGTATTTTCCGGACTGTTTTAACTATATTTCATTTTATCGGGTCAAATGAAATATTTATCATTCTTCCAATTATTATTGGCTATTAGAATGAATATATATTCCCCAACTTTAATTTAATGGTTCCCATAATTTATTATGGCTTTTCATCTGATATTTCTTCTGTACCGATAAATGGACTTTATATGCCCAAAAGGTTACTCACATAATTTATTATGGCTTTTCATCAGAGCGGTCGACTGATCCTAATCAAGCACGTCCTCACATCTATACCCGTTTACCATCTAGCCGTCTCAAAGTTCCCCAAAAAGGTGGTAACCATTCTCAACATATTGATGTCAAACTTTTTTTGGGGATATTCGGGGGACAAACCCAAATACCATTGGAAAAGTTGGATGCACATCTGTCGCCCAGGCAATGAAGGGGGGCTAAACATTAGATCTTTAACAGATATTGAGGCTGCCATGCAATGCAAAATGTGGTGGAAATTTAAAGAAAACAAGTCAATTTGGGCTACCTACATGAGAAAAAGATACGGCAGAAACGGAAACTTCCAGTTCAAACCCACAGACACACCCTCTTGGAAACAAATTTGTTCAACAAACGCACTGGGGCAACAACTGATCAAGGAAGTTCATGGACAGCTTAGATGGACACCGGACAAAAACGGCAACTTCTCAGTAGCAAGTGCTTACAATGAAGCCAGAACACCCTACCCAACCTCATTCAGTTTCAAAAGAACATGGGAAAATAAATCTCCACTGAAAATCAAATTATTTCTTTGGAAATTTTTGACCAACTCCCTCCCCTTCCCAGACAACCTGCGCAGATTTAACCTACAGATGGCCACTATATGCCCTTTTGTAAACAAGCAGAAGATACACAGAACCACAGTCTTTTCCTATGTTCTCAAATAATACCTGTTTGGACCTACTTTGGAAAACTTTTGCAGATAGGGGTACCAAAACATCCAGACCTACGTCAAACTCTATTTCAATGGTGGCTAAAGGGATCAACATTCAACACGAAACATATAATCATCCAGATAATGCCAGGTATTATTCTTTGGTTCCTTTGGAAAAATTACACATCTTTGGTTTGGGAGAACAAAACCTATTCACAAACACACACTATCAACGAGATCAAACAATACACCACATCCTGGTGCTTTAGCAACAAAAACAAGAAATACATCAGATTTGACCAAGAGCTTTTCGAAGATGGCCTCATGCCACACATACAACCAAATACTAAACTCAAATTCTACAAATGGAAAAGCGATTCACCTCAAGACCTCAGATTAAACACTGATGCAGCCTTCTCAGATCGGGGAAGTGCGGGAGGAGGAATTCTTCGACACACTGACGGTTCCTTGCAAATGGCATTTTCCTTCCCCACAAGAACGCTCAACCCACTACACGCGGAAGTGGAAGCGATGAAAACCTCAGTCATACAAGCAACAGAAAATGGTTACAGACATTTCCAGGTACAAACTAACTCAAACACTGCAATTTCCATGATACAAGGGAAAATTTCCACACCACTTTACCTTAAAGTCATGATCGAGGAACTGCAACAACTCGGAAATAGATTCAGCCTCACATTCAGCCATCGACACAGAGAGACCAACTGGGTGGCTCACTTCCTCCCACAAGACGGGTTAAGCAAAAAACATCTCACTTTATACAACACCTCAACCCTTCCGACGGATGCACGGACAGCCTACAAAAAAGATCTAAGAGGGGATTATTATGTTAGAAACGGCGATTGACCTAAGAAGAGATCCTACGAACACGGCGGAAGCATGACAACCCTCACCTATCAACGCAGAAGAATGAAGAAGAACCGGGAAGACCTAGGGTTATGTCGACATACTTTTGGCTTTATGCTGTCGAGACCTGGGTTTTTTTTATTCCTTATACTTTGGCTCTTTTTAACTTGTTTTTTTCAATCAGGACAACGAACCTTTGTTGCAAGCCCAAAACTTTTGTAATTCCTTGTAGTATACATTTACAGTTTTGAATAAAATAGGAAAATTTTACCCGACATTTTCCCCACTACAAGGTGGTCTTCGGGATTTAAAAAAAAAAAAGGTTAATCACATAACTTCTATGACCCAACCAGGCTATCCACCATTATACACATATTATCTTGACCCAAATGAATATAATATGTGGTCCCGATAATATCTGGCGGCCCCCACTTCCGGTGTGGGCCCCACGTGAATTTTACTATTCACGTAAAAGAAATGATAAAAATTCACAATCACGTAAAATGCGTTTATTCATTTCTTGGGTTCAATACATAATTTGATAAAGTACAAATACTTGGGGGCGGTGTTACAAGTGTAGGGTGTGTTTCGAAGAACAAAGAAAATTAATTAATAAAAATTAATTAAATAAAATGACGTAAAAAAAACAAGAAATGAGATGAAGCAGAATAAGCCAAAGCTCGTGCAACGCACGATTTCCTTAAAACGTATTCGTTGCCTCCTGGGGTGCTAGGAGCGTTGCAAGAATCGTTTCCCAGGATACGATGACTACGAACAAGCGTTTGAGCACTCAAACGAAAGTTCCAACGAATGTGAACAAAGCAAGAACACAGAAGAGTTTTGTGGAATGCTAGAGGTGTTTTTTCAGCTCTGAAAATATGTGTACGAAGTGTATGAACGTCTATGTTGCAAAGCACCTGCTAGCCAATTTATAGGGGTGGTTTTTGGTGTGTTTATGGCCTGTTTAAGGCATATGGCCGTTGGACATCAATGCCCAACGTTTGGGACATTGATTCCAGCCAAAAACAGTCCAAAACGTGTGCATTAAGTCCATGAACGTTGGACATTATGGCATATGGACGTTGGGCAGTAAATGGAGCAAAAAAAAAAAACGTCACCGAAGAACAAAAGTTAACGTTATCTTTAGAAGATAGATTTTCGGACGGCATTCGCGTGTGCAGGTCGCCCGCACACGCAAGTCGCACTTTTTGTTCTTCGGTTTCGGGATTTGATTCGCACCCCCCCCCCCCCCCGCTGCGCGCGTGAGAGAGCCTTTCCCTTTAGGAAGCTTAACTCCTTAGGGGGGGTTTCCCTTTATAAAGGGTTCAAATTCCCTTGTGATTTTCGGTGTGGGAAAAACCCTTACCAAAACATCACCTTTTCCTAGTTTTCTCCATTCTAACGGGTAAACTTCGAAAAGCGATTTCTCATTCACCCGTTATCCGTTTTGAGCGTACCATATATCGAATTGTAGCCCTAAGCAAGGACAATCCGAAACCACTTTGACCCGACCCATATCGGAAGTGGACCCCGCTCAAAAAATTGCCCCAAAATGACCATTTAATGCAATTTAACACACTTTTTCCAACAACAAGTTCTACCCCCTTATTTGGGATTTCGTCCCTGAAATACACGTGTCTAGTCAAACAGAAATGGATACTGTTCCCTCATCAGGGTCTCCACTTCCCAAGTTTGCTCCTCGACACGATCACTCTTCCAAAGTACCTTCACCATCGGTACCTCTTTACTCCTTAGCTTCTTTACCTGTCGGTCCATGATCTTTACCGGCTGCACCGCATAGTGAAGGTCTTCCCGGATTTCTACCGGTGGTTTCTCAAGAATATGTGACGGGTCCCGTACATACTTCTTGAGCATAGAAACATGAAATACGTTATGAATCTTTTCTAATTCTGGAGTTAACTGAAGCCGGTACACTACAACCCCAATCTTTTCAATGATTTTGAATGGGCCTATGTAGCGTGGGTTAAGCTTACCCCGACTGAGGAACCTGATGATCCCTTTCCAAGGTGACACCCTCAGAAATACCTCACCGCCGACCTCGAACTCTAACGTCCTTCGTCGTTTATCTGCATAGCTCTTCTGTCGATCTTGGGCAGCCTTGAGTCTATCCTGAATAACCCTCACCTTCTCCTTGGTGATTTCAACTAGCTCGATGCCCTCAAGCTTAGCCTCGCCTACCTCGTCCCAACACAAAGGTGTCCGACATTTCCTCCCATACAATGCCGCGTATGGAGGCATGCCTATACTTGTTTGATAACTGTTGTTATAAGCAAATTCCACCAAGGCCAACTGGTTGTCCCAACTTCCTTGGAACTCCAAGGCACATGCCCTCAACATGTCCTCCAAAATCTGAATCACCCGTTCAGATTGCCCATCCGTTTGAGGATGGAATGCCGTGCTAAACTTCAACTTTGTTCCCATGGATTCCTGGAACTTAGGCCAAAACCGTGATGTGAACCCTGGGTCTCTATCTGACACTATGGTGACCGGAACCCCATGCAGCCTCACGATCTCATCAGTATACAACTTGGCCAGCCGCTCAAGGGTGTAAGTAGTGTTAATAGGTAGGAAATGAGCGCTCTTGGTCAACCTATCAACCACCACCCATACCGCATCATAGTTCCTAACCGTCCGTGGCAAACCTACCACGAAATCCATAGTAACATGCTCCCACTTCCATTCTGGGATGGTAAGTGGCTGTAGTAACCCCGCTGGGTGCTGGTGCTCCGCCTTAACCTGCTGACAGGTAAGGCAACGGCTCACATATTCTGCAATCTCTCTCTTCATCCCCGACCACCAGTAACTTTCTTTCAAGTCCCGATACATTTTTGTACCGCCTGGGTGCATGGCATACGCAGACGAGTGGGCCTCCTCAAGAATAGATTTACGGAGCTCCTCATCTGATGGCACACACACCCGCTCCCTGAATAGTAAGAGTCCATCCTCTCTCTCATGGAAACCCTCGACGGGTCCCACCAGCATCCGTTCCCGGATTTTCTGAATTTCCTCGTCATTGCCTTGACGCGTCCTGATTTCGTCTAACAAGGTGGGTCTCACCTCAAATCTGGCCAATAAAGCCCCATTTGTGGATACCTCCACGCGTGCCCTCAATGCTTGCAAGCATGAGAGTAAAACCCCCGATGAACTCTTCCTACTAAGAGCATCGGCTACCACGTTAGCCTTCCCTGGATGATACTCGATAATCAAGTTGTAATCCTTGATCAACTCCATCCATCTCCTTTGTCTCATGTTCAACTCTTTCTGTGTGAACACATACTTCAAGCTCTTGTGATCGGTATAGATGTGACACAACTCTCCGTAAAGGTAGTGCCTCCAAATCTTCAATGCAAACACCACAGCCCCCAGCTCCAGATCATGCGTGGGATAATTTACTTCATGCTTTCTCAACTGTCGAGAAGCATAAGCAATTACCTTCCCTGATTGCATCAGTACGCACCCAAGTCCCTGGATGCTAGCATCGCTATAGATGTCATACCCCAAGCCTTGCACGGGTAGAGCAAGTACTGGTGCTTCCGTCAACCGTTTCTTTAGATCAAGAAACCCTTTCTCACACTTGTCATCCCACACAAACTTAGCTCCCTTTTTAGTGAGCTTCGTGAGTGGAGATGCTATCACCGAGAACTTCTCCACGAATTTGCGGTAATACCCCGCTAAACCGAGGAAACTCCGTATTTCCTTCACATTCTTGGGCCTCTCCCAATTAGTGACCGCTTCAATCTTGGTGTTATCAACTGAAATGCCCGAACCTGATACTACATGCCCGAGAAAACCGATCTCCTCAAGCCAAAATTCACATTTAGAGAATTTGGCAAAGAGTTGCTTCTCCCGTAGTGTTTCAAGCACGAGTCTTAGATGTTTCTCGTGTTCTTCTTCGTTCTTGGAGTATATCAGAATATCATCAATGAACACTATAACAAATTGGTCCAAGTATTGATGAAATACTCGGTTCATGAGGTCCATGAATGCCGCGGGGGCATTTGTAAGCCCAAAAGACATCACTAGGAACTCATAGTGACCATACCCTGTACGGAATGCACTTTTGGGTATGTCACTCTCCTTAATCTTTAGTTGATGGTAGCCCGACCTCAAGTCGATCTTGGAGAACACGGTTGCTCCTCGTAACTGATCAAACAAGTCGTCAATCCTTGGTAAAGGATATTTGTTCTTTATCGTGACCTTGTTCAATTGACGGTAGTCGATACACATTCCCATTGTACCATCCTTCTTCTTTACAAAGAGTACGGGTGCTCCCCATGGTGAATGACTCGGTCTAATGAATCCATTATCTAGTAGCTCTTCCAATTGAACTTTCAATTCTTGAAGTTCAGCCAGTGCCATTCGATACGGAGGAATTGAGATGGGCTTGGTGCCTGGTTCAACCTCAATCTCAAACTCGATCTCCCGATCTGGTGGGAGTCCCGGGAGCTCTTCAGGGAAAACTTCTGGATACTCACTCACCACTCTTACTTCCGTGAGACTCTTCCCTTTGCCTTCCTTGCCTATGACATAGGCTAAGTAAGCATGACATCCCTTCCTCATCATACGCCTTGCCCTCATAGCCAATATGATGCAAGGGTTGAATTTCCCTCTATCTCCCTCAAAGCATAGGGTGTTCCCTTCACCATCTTTTAGTTCTAACACCTTGGTGTAGCAATCTACCTTCGCGTGGTGTTTTTCAAGCCAATCCATGCCCAATATAGCATCAAACTCAAGCATGTCTAACGGTACAAAGTCTCCCATTAGACGATGCTCCCCTATCTCCACATTAAATGAGGGATAGTAGTGTTTCCTTTCCACGTCACCTCCCAACGGTGTAGAGACCAGTAAGGGTTGCGCCATTGCTACTAACGGCATGCCCAATCCCTTAGCGAACGCTTCGCTCATGAATGAACGTTGCGCTCCGGTGTCGATGAGAATTCTCGCCTGTCTACCATTGATCTTTAGTGTTCCTACATATACAAGCCATGTAAGAAACACCACCCATCGTCCAGAGTGAAAAGGAACTGAAAGAAAAAATTCAGCTTGGAGTTGCTCTATACCCGGTCGGGTACTAGCCTATACCCGGTCGGGTATTGCCCGATTCCCCAAGGAAGGAATTTCCTGTAAGTTTTGCCCGATCGAGTACCCACCTCGTACTCGAACAACTACACTATACCCGGTCGGGTATATGTCCATACCCGGTCGGGTATTGCTCAAACTGTTAATCACATTGCTTTCTGCCCACGACGTTCGATCGGGCACACGACTCGAAAACAAAAATTTTACTAATACTCGATCGAGTATCATACCATACCCGATCGAGTATGGCTGGATTTACCAAAATCGAAGGGTCCTGCTAAACTTGCTCGAACGAGTACAAACCTCGAACCTGAAGAATTCCCCATACCCGGTCGGGTCTATAGGGATACCCGGTCGGGTATAACACATTTTTCGAATGTTTTACTTCAAACGAATGAACAAAACGCATGTGAGGTCAAAAGATTACCTGCAATGGAGTCCGGGTTGGCCCGAGCGTCAGCCTCAGTCATTGCGTACACCCGTGCCTGGGTCCTCCCTTGGTTAACGGACGCGGCGTTACTAGCCGTGGGTCCGCCCTTTCCCGTGCCGCCCTGAGGTGGTCCCGCACGACCCCTACCAGACGTAGGTGCCTCAACAGCTCCCGATGGCCCACCTCCACTCAACATTGGGCAAGAGAGTTTGAGGTGGCTTGTGCTACCACACTTGTAGCACCGGGGTGGTTCATTGCACTTCCCGGAGTGATTCCTGTTACAGTTTGGACACCTTGGTGGCCTCACGCCCCCCGAGCTATGCCCTTGCCCTCCTGGGCCCTTACTCTTCTTTGCAGGTGGTTCCGGCGCCCTGAATGATCTTCCATTCCCGGCGTGATGTTTCTGAGAATGGTCTTGGGGTCCAGAATTCCCCCATCTTCTCTTCTTCGCCTCTTCGGCGTCTCTCTTCTTCCTTTCATTCCACTTGGCTTCCCCAAGTAGCCCCTGATCCACAATCTCACTAAAAGTCATGTGATGATTGTAGGTAGCCCGATCACGGATATCCAAGTGTAGGGTATCCCAGAAGTGATTAGCCATACGGTTCTCATCCATGGCGTACTCGGGTATGTACCGTGCCAAGTCCCGGAACCTTTGTTCCAGTTGCCTCACCGAGCAATCCTCCTCCTGTACCAGGGTCATGTACTCCTTCCTCTTCTGGTTCTTTTCGAACTCTGAGTAGTACTGATTATAGAATTCTACTTCAAATTTCTCCCAGGTGGTCTCACCGTGGAACTTTCCTTCCACGCCCTCCCACCATACAGCAGCTACTCCCTCCAGTAGCCTGGTAGCTATTGTTAGCTTTATGTCAAGCCCGATCTGCATATCTCTAGCAGCCTCATTTAGCTTCTTTATCCAATCGGCAGCCACCGATATATCACCCTTGCCATCAAATGACTTGCACCCCAAGGCCCTAGCCTCCTTGAGGTATTTGGAGATTCTTACACAAAAACCTCCTCCATGCATTCCCTGTGACGCCACAGGTGTAGCCACTGATGCTCCCCGGCTTCCGTGACCTGAAGCCCCCTGATAGGCACGCCTAGCTTGGCGCCTAAGATCTCTCCTCAACTTCTCCTTTTGATACCACTCAAACAGTTCACCCATCTGGGCGAATTTGGCATCACTCTCATCGTTGTCATCATCAGTGTACATATCACCCCCATCGTATGGGGTCTCCTCTGGTTCCGTTTCAGGAACGTATGTAGAATCATAGTCCTTGGTGTTGGTGTCGTGTACCGAGCTAACATGGCCATCGCTCACGATCTGAGCCCGATGACCTCCACGGCCTCCATGGCCTCCTCGGCCTCTTCGACCTCCTCTAGAGCCCCGAGACGCAACCTGGCTAGCCCCTATGGACGTTACCGGCGCTTGCCCTCTCGGGTTATTCCTCGTAGCCATGCGTCTACCCTCCATTTCTGAAAGAAATTTGGAATGAGCCGTCAGACTCGTATCAATGTCAATTGACGGAATAGTACAAAAGATACCACTTGATCCAACATTATGACCAACAAACTGTTAAGGGTACCGTCTTAACAATAAGAGGTCAATAACTTGGTTTCCAACGGTTCCTTAAGTACAAAACTTTTGCTCATGGTTTTGCTCAAAACATTTTTGATGATACTATATTGAGAGGTTAATTATATAGTTTAGAAATCGATGGCTCTGATACCATTTAATTGTCACGCCCCGGACCGCGTCCGTGCCACGTAGACAACCGCCGTACAACCCAATAAGAACAACGTAGTTCATCCTTATTAAACCGTACAAGGCGTCCAATAGATTCTATTGCCAAACCGATTAGTAAACTCATACAATCAACATCAATATATTACTCAAACAAATGCGGAAGTAAAATATGTTTAGTGATTAGCCACACGTGGCAAACATGAGCACGCAGGCCCTTCAATAGTTTAATAGAAAACGTTATTCAAATATCCATGAGCATTTTCATAAGTCAAATAAGAATGGAAGCACGAACCAAGTCTTCCTTATTCGAAGTCCACCCTATGCAAAGGTGCAGGTAGCAGGACTCTAGCCTTAACCTGAAAAATAGTGAGGGCCCCCGGAGGGGTCAGTACTTCACAGAAAGAAGTACTAGTGACAAGCAGGCTATATGAGGAATAACTAATGTTTCAGACACGAGACCCAAAAGTAGGATGATACATATATATATATAGGTGTAACCACTGTTACCCCATTCCCAAGATAATACATACTGTATATACTTGTAAAATACTTGACCCGTAGGTCGTTTCCTCACAAAAAGTCTTTTAGAGATAAGGTGTTTACCCAACCTTTCCCCTTTCTTTCCTGAATGCCTAGCTCAAGGGCTACATTCTACCTTCATAATATCCTACCAAGTTTCGGGAGTGTTTACCGTCCCGGGGATGCTCAACCCCACCGAGTTTTAGGATTGTTTACCGTCCTGAGGATACTCAACCTCACCGAGTTCTTGGGATTGTTTACCGTCCCGAGGATACTCAACCTCACCGAGTTTCTGGGATTGTTTACCGTCCCGAGGATACTCAACCTCAACGAGTTCTTGGGATTGTTTACCGTCCCGAGGATACTCAACCTCACCGAGTTTCTGGGATTGTTTACCGTCCCGAGGATACTCAACCTCACCGAGTTTTAGGATCGTTATCCGTCCCGAGGATTCTCAACCTCAACCTTATTCCTTACCAACCCTAACTTGGATATGGCTAACCTTTCATTCCCTTAACTATGGACAATACCTAGTCCTATAGTCATGTAACAATCCTTAGTAACTAACGTGGACGAGTCCCACCTGATCGGTCCACGTTAACCTACTCAAAAACTACCCGTTTTGAGTATAACCCAATACTCGATCGAGTACAGGAGGCAGCAGCCCGTAAGGCTAATTTTCCATGCATACTCGATCGAGTACCTATCCATACTCGATCGAGTATAGGAGACAGCAGCCCTTAGGGCAAATTTTCAGCAAATACCCGGTCGGGTATTTGCTAATACTCGGTCGGGTATTGTAGTTGACTTGGCGGTCAACGCCCGTTTGACCGCCCAAACGGAGTCCGATTAACGTGAAATTTTACATGCATGTACTACTTGAAGTCCTTGATCCAAAAATATCAGTTTTGGTCCTTGGAACATCATACATATCAATTTATATTAATTTCACTAATCAAACCTACATTTCATGCTTCCCAACTATGTCATAGTTTCCATCATGACATAACAGATGCTTTAATACCATTAATCAATTCATAAAACATATTCTTGATTAATTTAGGTAATCTCATGCCTCACGCAAAAGTTATAAAGCATATAGCCGTCTTCTCACCTTATTGAAGCTTATGAAGTTCTAGCCTTTCCGATTTAGCCCCGGTGAAACTCCGGTGAACTTCAACGAACTCCGGCGACAACTTTGGCGACCCTTTCAACTCCGTGAAAGTTCTCGAAATACCTTATACAAGTTAATAACAAGGTTTTATCATCATAAAACCCATATCAACACAAATAACCTTCAAGAGGTTATTTTCCGACGAACCCGTCAACTTTGTCCTCCAAGTTCATTTTGGATATGAACCAACCTTCCAGCCCCTCATTCTTCACATATAACATGTATAGTGACCCTAGGGGTCTGGAACATGATTATATAATCATATGGGAGGATTAAGGAAAAAGGAATGGGATAAATGAAGTCATTACCTTGTTAATCCTCAAGTTTTCCTCCTCTTTCCTCTTCTCCTTCTCCTTCTTCTTCTTCCTTAAGCTTGGTTCGAATGGAAATGGAGGAAATGAAGATTTGAAGAGCTTCTCTCTCAAAATTGATTGGGTTGGTCGAGCATGTGAACTAAGGGGGAGAAGACATGGCTCTATTTTGGCTTGTACCCCAATGATAGCAAAAATAGGGCCCTACCTTGCCCATTTGATGCTAAAACACTCAAGTCAACATTTCTCACCCCCTTCCATCTCATCCAGCCGACCTAACCTGCCTCTCAGCCCATAAAATCGTGGGGTGGCCCCCACCCATGTGGGAGGTCATCCCTTTAAGCCCCGAAGTGTACACTCGGTCCCGAAAGTTGTATTTTCCGGACTGTTTTAACTATATTTCATTTTATTGGGTCAAATGAAATATTTATCATTCTTCCAATTATTATTGGCTATTAGAATGAATATATATTCCCCAACTTTAATTTAATGGTTCCCATAATTTATTATGGCTTTTCATCTGATATTTCTTCTGTACCGATAAATGGACTTTATATGCCCAAAAGGTTACTCACATAACTTCTATGACCCAACCAGGCTATCCACCATTATACACATATTATCTTGACCCAAATGAATATAATATGTGGTCCCGATAATATCTGGCGGCCCCCACTTCCGGTGTGGGCCTCACGTGAATTTTACTATTCACGTAAAAGAAATGATAAAAATTCACAATCACGTAAAATGCGTTTATTCATTTCTTGGGTTCAATACATAATTTGATAAAGTACAAATACTTGGGGGCGGTGTTACACTTTCAACCACTTTTCTACAACCATTTTAAGTGCGAGAAAACACACATCACGATGCCGACGGGAAGGCTGAGAATAGACGAAGAGATAGATGTGACGAAAAAATGAAAAAGAGGGGGCACGGTATAATGGTCTTCTTAATTATGTTTAGTCTTTTTTTCATAAATTCATAAGTGTGGGTCTTCTTTTGTCCATTCGTTGATTTTTAGTTTCATTTTTATCCTAACCCCTAAAAATTTTACTTTTCACGAAAATCAGAAATTTCATTTTAGACATTCAAATAACAAAAATTAGAAGGTTTTTGGGGATGTAGAGAGTATTACTTATGGAAATCTTTAGAACGTGTTTACTTTGCTGCTGAAGTCATGGTTAGGTTAGTAAGACAGTTGAAGTAAACACGCAGACTGCCTAAAAAGCTGATTATTAACCAGAACAGGAGCTTAACGTGTCGCTTACTAAGCATACCACCTCTCATGTATTAATTAAGCGGCACTTCAAGGTTTTTCAGTTTCTGAATATACCGTTATCCTTACCCCTTATTCTGACTCCTACCCCTACCCCTTACCTCGTACCCGTACCTTTACCCTGACTCCCTACTCGTGGCCCATACCCCTACCCCACTCGTTAACCCCTAACCACCTGTTAACACGAGGGTCGGGGTAAGGGTAGGGTAGACTAATGGGTAGGGTGAGAGGTAGGGGTATGGCCATGGTAGTGGAATGGTTGTAGTAGGGGTAGGGGTAGACAATGGTTAGGGGTGGTAGGTGTAGGGTGTAGGGTTGGACTTGGAGGTAGGGTTAAGGGTTGAGGTGGGGTAACAAGTAGGGTAAGGGTTAGGGGCTGGTATGGGTATGCGTACGAGGTGGTAGTGGAGTAGGGGTAGGGGTAAAGTTGTGGTAGGGCTAGGGGTAGGGAAGTTGTAAAGGCTTAAGGTAGAGGTAGGGTGTAGGGTTGGAATTGGTGGTAGGGTAGGGTTAGGGGCAAGGTACGGGTAAGGGGCGGGTATGGGTACATGTACGAGTGGCTCCACGTATTTGATGTATATACTTGTGTATAAAAATGTTTATGTTTCTATATATGTATAAGGTTATTTTGGATATTTTTAATGTTAAACGGTGTTTTATATCATGTGAATAAACATTAGCATATAACTCTGCTTATTTTATGTGTCACTTATTAACACAAGTCTTATTAAGCACCGCTTAGTAGGCTGTGAAGTAGACGTGTCTTAGTGTCAAATGGGCTTCACCCATGTAGTTATAACTTGCTCTTTCATCTCCAAGTAATTTTCAAGTTTGACTTTACAAGTTTTTAAATAGGAAACACGTAAAAGTTGAATTGACTTTCAAAGTTACTCTTTGAATAATAAAAGGAGGTAGTGATCCAAATAAATTAAAAGAAATAAATGATACCAAGTAATAAAGTAGAGGGTAAACGGATACTTTCAATAAAAAAACATACCAAAATTAGAAATAAAATTAAATAAGAAGTTAATTTGAGGAATATATGTTGCAACATGTTTTTTAGAGGTGGCCTCGAATACGTTAAATCACATAATTGATTGTCGTAGAAATGTACCATGTTAGCATAGCCCTAGTGCACACCATTTTATGGAGAGTATGGATTATATTGCCACCACAAGTCTCTTCAATGCATCCATTATTTCGATTTTCAACCATACCAGTTTGTCGTGTACTATAAATATACTACGTATTGAAAAGGAGAAGATCGGCAAGCAGGTTTAAAGTCTTTTTGCGGACCACAATTGGTTTATTTGCCTTTTTCTGCCAATAGCTTTTACTTAAAGAATATGCATGCATAATCAGAAAAGCAAACAACTTTAACCTTTTTATTTGGTTGCAATAACAGCTAACGAAGTTTTTGATTTTTTTTTATAGTCAGCACATCAAAGTATAACTAATAATGTTCAAGAATTAATTTAAAGCCTGTTTGATAACCTATGATAACCTATGTTTTCGAGTATTATGAGTCAATCTTTAAATCAAATGCTCAACTTCTAAATTTGCGCGCTAAAGTGTATAATTACTAAAATAAGTCATGTTGAAATGCAACATATTCAACAAAAATTTCATTTATTTCAGCAAATTCAACCGATTAGGTCAATTTCACTGCTACTAATTCACCTCTCAATTATCCTTGTAGAACTCTCTTCATCTTGACTTAATCTTAGATAGGTTTCTAATATTTTTACTAATAATGTCAAATATGGAGTAATAATTGTATAGAAATAATTAAATATTTATGATCAAAATAAACGATGGTTTACAAAAATGTGACTAATATTAAAAGTAGTAATGGAATCAAAGTAATTTATATTGAACTTAAATTACCATAACACTTATATTACACTTAATTGAAAAAAAAGCTCAATTGTATAACATGCTAAATGCCTAATTTGAGTTATTCGGTCTCGCCCCCCGAAAACAATATTCAAACTGCCACGTATAACCTCCATATTAATTGCTAGTGGACTTCATCTCTGACCTTGGGTTTCAAGTTTTTGCTTGTCAGCGGTATATACAAATTGGACTGACGGACAAAAAATATTGGAGATATACTGTTACACAATATTTTATACATCAATATTTAAAGAATTTTAGAAATTTGATATAGGTCTGATCCTAGCATGACTCCCAACCTCCACCCCTAATTACAAGGTTTGTGATGCTTTCCACTCATCCAATTAGACAAAAGGACAATGATGTACAACAAATCATTCTAAAGAATTAACCAACTTTTAGAATCTTTTTACACTATGAGGAAGTTTGCTTGAAAAAAGTTCCCTCTAAACAGGTGCAAACTTTACATTTTACGTTCAAATTGTCATCATTATTTTGAGGGTGTTTGGGTGAATTGGTTGAATTGGTTGAATTGGTTGAATTGGTTGATTCTGCTAATTTATTCAAAAATTATATTTAAAATATATTGTATTAATATATTCAATAAAATAAAGAATAAAATTATATGTACAAATGGTCCTTTACAAAACTTCAGTCAATACATTCATAAAAGTAACTTCAACCTTATTTTTTCTTATTATTATGCAATTCAGCGCGTAAAATCAAAAATTATGTGTTTGATGAAAAGGTTGGCTGATAAACCTGATAAGCTAAAAACTGGGATACCATTGATCCAAAAAAATTGATCCTAAAGGTGGAATCTCCCACCCCAGGAGCCCCCACACCCCGACCTGATAGGATGGTGAATGAGTAAGTCACGGTGACTCAGTCAGCAAAGTGGCAGTAGACCATACACCCGTGCCCGCCATGCCCAACCTTATTTCAAGTTCTGTAACCTCCACCCGGTCGCTGCGGGGATTCGAACTTTGATCCATTGATCCAAATTTCCCACCACTCGACCAACTGAGCTACCCGTGCATGGATTCGAAAAATTGGGATACCAAACGGGCATTTAGTTTAACTCTTCCAATAAATTACTTGGCCAATTCTAGAAGCAATCGAGGATGGAATGCACTTTTTTTTACAAATATCTATAAGTGAAATCCTAAATATTATTACTTTGTACAACCAACACTAATTTAACTGATTATTTTTACTATTTTTTCTTGAAAACCTATTCCTCACTGAAATGATGCTCTTCTCGTCACAAATTATTGATCTTGTTTGGGTATGCATACTTTATTAATAAAATTAGTAGTGTAAAAGATGTGATACAGATAATACGTAGCACGAATTTTTATTGAAAAAGGAAGCATACAAATATTTTTATGTAATCAGAAAAAGAGAGTGAGACAATTATTTAGAGATAGAAAGAATATATTAGAGAAAGGACATTTCTCATACGGGGAAGCTAAAATCAAGTTAAAAGGGGTTTTCTATTATGATATTAATGATTATGGACCTTCTACTTACTTTATTAGTGCTTAAAAATTTATGTGAAAAAGAAAATGATATTTTCTGAATATAGTGATTCAAATTCCAGCAGTCTCATTGTTGTTGTCACCGGTGTTAATTCTTCTTGTTTAAATATGATTATAGTCATTCATATTTAACCTGGTAGTTGCCACCAATGTTATTTTTTGAAAGAAGATAGACTTATATTAAATTAACAGAACTTAAGTAAGTTATAAAACGACAAAAATCTTCTGTCAACCATTTTCCCTCGAACTAGACTTAGAATTTATCACCTCCGTAGAAGCAATAAGAATCGATGATCATGTAATGAGCTTACCCGAGTCAATGACAGACAAACCAGATTTCTCATCACTCAACTTAAATTCTAGAGTTACTCTACTAGGAAATAAAAAAACATGACCAAAATAACATGCA